TAGTGTACAGCCCACTGTACCAGGGAGGGAAAGGCACCTGGAGGGATAGCAGGGTATGCCCACCGCCTCCTTCAGGCTTAATGCAAGCAAACCCCTGTGCCAGTTCTGAGTCCATGACTTTACTCCCCTCTGTAGTCAGTGGGGCACCCAGAAGGGCGGGTGGGCAAGGGCATGAAACTATCTTACTACTATTGAGTTTTTAAAAATCTATTAACATTGTTTCTAAATTGACAAAAAACATCTCCCAGTCCATCTAGTCTGGCCTGTACCTGACAAAAGGACCCTGGATCTCTAGGATACTCTGCCCTGAGCGCACCACGAGGAGGGAGACGGCCGGCAGCTGGTTCTTCTGCTTCAAGGCAGCCTTGCACACAGGCCATCAGGAGCTGGGCGACTGCCCTGCCTAGGGTCCAGGGGAGGAATCCAGGAAACAATAATGGATAACTCCCAGCGCTCAGTCACCCTCCCTGTACCACACGTGCATCCGCAAGGCCCAACATGCTCTCCTCACCCAGAGAGAGTGATGAGGAGTGAGTCACAGCCCAAAGTCAAGGGGCAAACCACAGGCTTAATGCATAACAAAACAAAAAACGATAGAAAACGTCTCCCTGGCCCTATTCCTCAGCGCCATGGCCTGGCTTACCTGCCAGGATCCCCCAAAAGGGGGGCTCTCAAGGAACAGTCTGATGATGACTCCTGGGCTGGTGTGCCACCCCAGGAAAGCAGCCACTGCTGTCCCTCTGAGGGAGTTTCTGACAAAGTTCGCCGGCTCCTGCCTTGCCCTGGAATTCAAGGCCCTTTGCATAGCTGGACCCTCACATCCTTTCTCGAACCCTTTTGCTCCCGCCTGTCCCAGATGGGCCCATCCTTTCACTCGCCCACAAACCTGCCAAGCTCATTCCTGCCTGAGCTCATGCCTTTGCTCCAAACATTTCCTTCTCCTGGAATACCCTATCACCCCTTTCTAAATCCAACCCGACCATCAAGGTCACACTCAAGTCCTGCCTCCTCCAGGAAGCCTTCCTGAACGGTTCTGGACCTGGAATCTGGATCTGGAGAGATCTCTCCATAGAATCACAGCCAGGAATCGGAATCACAGAATCTGAGAGCAGGATGGACCTCAGAGGCCCTGGAGGCCAACTTGTACCTGAACGGGAATCCCTCTCTAGAATATGCCCTCCAGGAAAGGTCAGCACTAGAGCGGGCCTGAGATAGGACTCACAGAATCTTGGAGAGTTGACTAGGATCTCCAAATCCATCTAGTCTGGCCTGTATCTGACCAAAGATCCGCTCTGCCTCATCCCTAACCACTGGCCCTCCAGCCTTTGTTTAAAGACCTCCAGGATGGAAGAGGAGGATGGCCCCAGGCTTTGGAGCAAAGGCTGATTATTTACACACCACGTTCAGGTTTGCTAGGACTGCCGCTCAGTACAGTGAAGAGCAGCCTGGCCTGGGAGGCAGGAAGCCTGAGGCCCAAGTCTGGCCCCTGACCCATGAACATCTGGGCACAACGCAAGGCAGTACAGGACATGGAGGCAGACAGGGCTGAAGGAGCTCAGAGGGCGATCCCTGGGAGCTAAAGGGATGGGGGTGGTTTCCTGGAAGAGGCGGGAATCAACCTGGATCTCAAAGCTTACCCCAGGGCTTTGTGTTAATAACTCCAAAGGGGAGAACATTGACACGACTGGATTAATTCACAGAAAGGCTGGTTTCATTTCAGTAAAAGAAAGAGCTTCCTAATAATCAGAACTGTCAAAAGGGGAACGGGTTACTTTCGAGAGGGCTGCAATCAAGTCTCTGGAAACCTGGACACTAAGGCCATGCCAGGTGATTTCTAGGACTCCCCCTCCACCCCCGTGCAACTTTAAGATTTTACAAATCTTGGCGCTGGAAAGGACCCAGAGACCACACGGTCCAACCCTTTAGTCTACAGAAGAAACTACAAAATGAAAGCTGATAAAGCTACAAAATGAAAGCTGAAGGCTCAGGACTGACTCTGGGATTACAGTGGGATAGAGAAGGGCAGGGAGAGGGCCTGGGTGAACCCAGAGTCCCCCAAACTCCCTGAAGTCATTAGCTTCTACCTCTTCTCTCCCCAACACACATCATCACACTTGTAAAGGAGGCCTCGACTCCTACTCTGGCCCTTCTCATTCACCCTCTGAGGTTGGTGATAGAGAGAAAGAGTCAGAAATTCAATGTAATTCAATTCAACAAGCATTTATTAAGCACCTACTGTGTTCGAGTGGAGGTGGGAGAGAGAAGGTCAAGTTGAAGAACAAAGGTGTTGGGGAAGCTCTTGGGTCTGAAGAAAAGGACCTACAATCATTAACCCACCCAGCTAGATCTGGGGTGGCCAGGCCAGGGAAGGCAGAGTATTAAGTGTAGGGATACTCAAGTTCTGGTCCTGACTATGCCAGGACTAAATCATCGTGTGTGTGCCTGGGCAAGTCTTCCCTTCCCTTCCCTTCCCTGGGCCTCAGTGTCCCCACCTATAAAAGAAGGGGGAGGGGGGTGAACGAGAAGATCTCATCCAGTCCCTTCCAACTCTAAAGTGCTAGAAACGTGTGAAAAGACAAACATGTAGGAGGCAACAGGACAGATGCTGGGACAGGAGCCCAGAAATGTGTTATAATCCTGGCTCTGCCGTTGGCTTTCTGTGACTTATAAAGTCACTGCCTCAGTTTCCCCATCTGCAAAATAAGCAAACTGGCCAAGATAATCACTAAGGTACCTTCCAGGAGTAACAGTCTACCTGCCTGGATCCCAGACTCCAGAGCCCATTTCTGGAGCGCTGTCTTGTTTAAGACCAGCAAACCCCTCTCCCACACACCATTCCATTCCTTCCTCTCTCCACCAGTGGGCTCATGAGAAGATCAGAGCCCCTTCCTTCCTTCCTTCCTTCCTGGGTGGGTAGGTGGGGAAGGGCCAGGAAACCCAGGCCTCCAGTTGGGGCTGGGGGTATATATGGCCTCTGCTGCCGTCCTCCTCAAACTGGAGGGTGGGAAGCAGTCCGGGCAGGCCCACGGTCCAGGAACAGTAGCAGCAGGGACAGTCCTTGGGTCCCTGGCCCACCATATGCCCAGGGTCCTTTCTCTAAGAAGAAAAGCAGTGGCTAAACTGGTCAAACCAACAAGCAGATGCCTCAACATCATCAGCCCTTTCATTTTACAGATAAGGAAACCGAGGCCCCTGTTTAAAAGACAAGGGCAGCTTTTTGAAGACGTTCTTGCATAAACCCTCCACAGTCTGCTGATGCCAAAATCTATAGGTGAAATGAGATAAAGGCTTAATGAGGAAACTTCCAGCATGTTGGTAGGGGAAGGTGGTGAAACCAAGGCCTCTCTTGACTGGCAGCATGAGATGATGTTTTCACTGTCAGAAAGACCTGAGTTTGAAGCCTGGCCCCTCTACCTAGGGGCTGTGGGAAATTGGGCAGCTCCTTAACCACACCAGGCCCCAGTTTTCCATCAGTAAAATGAAGGGGCTGGCTCAGATGACCTCTAAGGCCCCTCTGTCATGGGGGGCCAATCCTAACGAACTGGAGAAATGGGAAACGTTCTTTGGAAGCTGAGATGCTATCTGGCTGGGGGAGTCCTGGGTTTGAGCCCCAGAGGGGCCAGTGACTCAGTCTAGACAAATCCCTGACCCTCTCAGGCCTTCCTCCTCTGAACAACAAAAATAGCGTATCTTATGCTGCCCACAACCACTATGAGGGGTGGACGACATCCATAGAAGTACCAAGCTGCAGTTACAGGCATCGTGATGGGTCACTGCAGCTGTTCTCCAGAGGTGAGCTGGGGAGGGGAGGGAAGAGAAGGGAAGAGAAGGAAGGGATGGAAAACTCTTCCTTATCCCTCTGCACACAACACATAACAATAACTTTTTGGCCAAGTGAACTTACTGCTGACTAGGAGAAAGGTGGGAGAGAGAGAGGAGACTGTGGAGGGAATGGGAGCCTGGGAGGAGTTTGGGGGCACTAGAGGATAAAGAAGGGGTAAGAGAGGAGAACGGTAAGAAAGGCAAGGGAGATTGGGAGTAATGAGGGAGCGAGAACAACCAAGAAAGAGGACCGGTGCTTGGTAGAATTAACGGGAGCACGAGGAAGAGGGTATGAGGGAGAAAAAGGTACTGGAAAAGGAGAGGGGAAATGGAGGGAGTATAGGGGAGAGGGGGAGGACGTTAGGAAAGGGGTCAGAGGATGGGGGAAGGAAGGGGGGAAACTGGAGGAGGGACACGGGCTTGCTTGCCAGGGCTAACCACTCTCCTGAATTCCTGTGACCGGGGAAAGGCAGGAAAAAAGAAGCTAAGGGAGGGGACATCAGGGAGGATGTAACCGTTACTGCCCGCAAACTTTCCAGTGCGTCCAAAAATAATAAATAACTCATCCTCACTTTGAAAATTAAACCTGATTCAACTTTTTTGTTTAAGTAGGTGAGGGGGGAAGGGGAGGGAGGTTACAGTCACAGTAGCTCCATCCTTGCCCGGCATCTCCCCCCAAACTCTGAGACCCTGCTCATACTCTAACAGTCCCAGTTTCCACTCCCCATCGCTCTTCTCCAGAGCTAGGTCTTTGGGATGGTTTCGATACCCCACCAAGTCTGATTTCAGGTCCCAGGCACAGGGACTGCAGATGTGTGGGATGGGGGTGGGGAGGATGTCAGAGATTCCTGCTACTTATTGCCTCCTCTTTCTACTGCTCCCATCAGGCTCCCTGAGGGACGAAGACCACAAGATGGCAAGAGGGTGCCTCTCCCCCCACCAAGAAACGCTAGCCAAGAAGTCAGTCTCATGGTCCTCTTCCTTCTCCAAACTCTGCGTTGAGCAGACTGAGGAAGGGAGGCTTTTTCCCAAGCCTGGGCCCCCCACCTCCTGTGAAGCCTTGGGAACAAAGGCTACAGCAGACCCCCTCCGCCCCCACCAGGTCCCTCATCCCCTCCTTCCCAAGCCCCTCTCCCCCATCCCCCACTGGCAGGAGAAGAGATTGATCCTCCACTCACCCCCAAACACACGTAGCATCCAGGCTCCTGGGGGAGGGTGGAGGTGGGGGGAGGTCGGGGAGAGCCCTCACTCACCCCCTGCGCCAGTGACCAATGTTTTCCAGCTGGGCTCCTAGGGGAACACAGGATGGGAAGGGGGGCCTGCCCCCCGGCTCCCTGCCACCACTAGGCACCCATGGGTTTCGAGATCTGCTCCACCATGCTCATCCGCAGGGACTGAGGAGCTAGGACCGGGAAATCTGGGTGAGGTTGTCCCAGATTGTCCGCCAACTCGGAGCCCCTGGGTCGGCCCCGCTGCAGCTGCAGCGGAGCAGAGCGAGCAGGGAGCGAGATGCGAGAGGGCAGCAGGAGGGGAGCGGAGGGGGCCGGCCGGCCCGCCGGGCGGAGCAGAGATGTTTAGGGTTGGGGGAGGGGCCTGGAGAAGGCTGGGCTGGAGTGGGGGGGTCTTGAGGGGAGGAGGCCAGTGGGTGAAGGGGCGGGGGAGAGGGACCAGGGCCACACCAGCGGGGAGGGAGGGAGAGGCAGAAGCTGGGGGGCACAGGGGGAAGCGGAGTGAGGGCTTCCTCCCCCGGGGGCTTTGGAGCTTCAGCCCTCTTCCCTCTAGCACCCCAGGGGCTCCGGGTGGGGGGAGGGGAGAGGAGAAGGAAGATGGAGTCTAGAGGTGCAAAGAAGAGGGAGAGGTGGGGCCAGGGCTGGGGGAGGTGGAGCTGGAGTGCGGGGTCGCTGGAGGTGGGGAGGAGCTGGGGAAAGAAAGGAGGGAAGTTCTGTCCCCTGGGTAGGGGTGGGAGAGGACGGCCAGGGCCGGAAGAGGAGCCCGGGGGAAGGGGGCTGTGGGTGGGAGTCTGGGGGAGGAGCGAGCCGGGAGAGAGGGGGCCACTCTGGGAGGGAAAGGGGGGGGTGGGTGGACTTCTAGTCCTTTAAAGAAAACTCCTCCCAAACTTTTTACCCAACGAGAGACGCCAGCAGGGGCTGGGAGAGTCCCGTTAAGCTTCTAACTCCCCCCTCCCTCCCCGGGGGTTGCGAGGGCCTGTTCAGACCCCACCCCGCCCCCCATCCCTGTCCGCCAGCCATCGGGCCCCAGGGATCTGTCTCTCAGTGTTCAGTACAGTGTCTAGTCCAGGTCGCCTGTGTGTTGGGAAGCGATGACTCGCCGAGCAAGAACACTGACGACGCAGCCAAAGAACTGTCTCTGCTCCCCTCTTCTGCTCTGTGGCCTTGGGCACATCATTTCATTTCTCTGGGCCTCAGTTTCCTTATTTGTAAAATGTTGGGGGTCGGACTAAGAGAGCTTCTCTAATCCCTTTCGGCTTCAAATCCGACAGTCTTATAAAAGTTGCAATCTAGAGTTCTGATGCAGCCGATGACTACCGACCCCCATGGGGGGAGAAAGTGACAAGAAAGGCCGAAAGGGACCCATTCCTATCCCAGGGAGCGAACGCGGAGAAGCACGGACCTCGGTCGGGAGGCTAAGCCTGGCTCTGACGCAGATGAGCGGGGTGACCGGCAGCCAACGAATCCACCTGAACTTTGCTCCCCAGTGATAGTACACGGTGTGGGACTGCCCATCTGACTGGTTATTGTGACGAGAGCACTTTCTAATCCTTGAAAGGGCTACAGAAAGCATTAAAGCCCATTGCAGGGATGAGGAATCGAATTCAGGTGAAACGATGCTGAGGACGGGGAATGGACACCAATCATATACCTACTCAAAGTCCCGCAGGTGGAAGGTGGCCGCGTCCGACGTGGCCCTAGGGCTCTACATTTTGGCCAGGAAAGCTCCACTGATGCTCCTACCTCAGTAATGACCCTCCCTGCTTTGACCTCAATTGTAGATCTGTATCTATCGACTGTAATAAAAAATAATATTTAAGTTCATCAACCTGTATTGGTGCTTTATCTCACGCCTAGATGGAGAATTCCGAGAGCCGGAACCAGGACTTAATCCAAACTTTTTATTCCCACCACTAAGAGTATGGTGCTTAGCAAACAGTAAGGGCTTAATAAATAAATGGTTGATGAACTGAATATCAGAGGCCAAGGCCTGAGATGGCCAGCATAGGCAGGAAGAAAGACAAGTGGACATATTGCCAGGGCCCATTCCAGCCTTGCCCTCCCCCCTCTCCAGACCAGATATAACTAGGTCTCCCGGTTCACCCTTTGTGTCACTCCTACCTCTTGACTGCCCATCAGGGTCCCCACACCTCAGGGCCACTGGCACAATGTTCAGAGGGGCCTGGCTTGGGAGACAAGTGTGTTTTTGGAGAGCAGTGGTGTGTGTCCTAATGGGGGTGGAGAGAGCGAGGAGTGGGCCGCCTGAGAGCTAGAAGCAAGTATCCAGATTGAAAACAGATGGGAGTGTTGATGCCAGCCTGACATCCGATCCTGTGGGGAGGGAGGAGGGGGGATACGAAGGGAGGGGGGGAGGAGGAGGAGGAGTAGTAGTTCCCAAACCCCGGAGCCTTGGCAACCAATCAAAACTTCAAGGCTACAAAATAGTTTGGTTTGAAAATATCCCTATAGCCAAGCAGCTTTCAAGGGGGGCAGATCTGCCTTTCCAAATATTTGATGGTGTCCAAGGGAAACCTGCCCAGAAAGGAAGTCAGGGTGTAGTGGGGTTCGCCCTACTGACCAGAGACCCCAGTCTCCACAGCACTTGACATGCCTCCCCTAAGCAGGCCAGAGCAGGGGATGGACAGACAGACACACAGCCTGATTAGAGTGCCAGGGACACCTGCAGCTATTTATATCCCCCCAAAACAAACAGCTGAGGAAGTGTGAGCTAAATATAAAAAGGTAACTTTGTAAGAGGCTGGAGGGTTGGTGATGGGGGACAGCTAGTACAACTTAAAGCATAGGGCAACTAGGACACCTGTGAGCTCTAGACCGAGGAAGTTCCTTTGTCCCCCTGCCCTCACAGGTCTAGAATTCTTTCCTTTTTGGTCTGGACCTATGATTTTTGTGGGGAACTTGGGTCTGGGATAAAAATAATGATAATAACAATTCCTATGCCAATTGGAGGCTTTAAAAAGTAGTTTCCTCACAATTTAGTACAAGTCTTTTCCCTATTTTAAAGATGGGGAAACTAAGGCACAGAGTGGTTAACTGGCTTGCTCAGCAGAACCTGAGGGAAGAGGTGAAGGCAGGATCTGAGTTCTGGGCTTCTGGTTCTGAGGCTGGTGCTCTTTTGACCGTAGCACATCTACTTCTCCTCCTCCTCACTGGACCACTCCTCAGGCACACTCCATACCTCCAAGTGTCCCATTGATCCTGGTTCCTCCTCTGCTGTTTCTTCTGCTGATCTCACCAGCCCCCATAGATTCAATGATCATCTCTATGCTGATGTAAATCTATTTCTATAGCCCTAACCTCTCTGCTGGCCTCCAGTCTCCCATCTCCAACTGCCCACTAGACATCTTGAACTGGATGTCTTGTAGACATTTTAAAGTGAAAAACTGAACTCGTCTTTCCTCCCAAACCCTCCCCTGATCCAACTTTCCTGTCCCTGTTGAGGGCATCCCCATGCTCCCAGCCACCCAGGCTCATAACCCAGGCATCATCCTCAACTCCACACTCTGCCCCTTCCCCCATATCCAATCTGTGCCAAGCCCTGTCTATCTCACGTTCATTACATCTCTCACACAAGCTCCCCTCTCTCCTTGGACACTGCCGCCATGCTGGTGCGCCCAATAGCCTGCTGGCTAGTCTCTCTGCCACAAGTTTTCCCTACACTCCCTTCTATCCTCCTCCACTCAGCTATCAAACCGATGTTCCTAAATTGGAGGTCTGACCAGTTCATCATTGCTGCCCCAACCTTCCCATTCCCACCCCAGGCCAAGAAACTCCAAACGTTCCCTATCATCTCCAGGAAAAGATACAAACTTCCCTTTGGCATTCACAACCCTTCATGATCTGGCCCCTCCCTCCCTCCCTTCCCAGTCTTCTTACACTATACAAAAGCCTGTTGGCTCCACATACTCTGCAATCCCGTGACACTCCATGTCCTGACTCTGGGCAATTTCATTATCTGTCCCCCCAGCCTGGAATGCTCTCCCTCCTGGCTTCCTTCAAGCTCCAGTCAAAATCGCTTTAGGGGATTTAGGAAGCCTTTCCTGGTCCCTTTTAATTCTAGTGCTTTTGGGGCATAGAGGTGGCATAGTAGATAGAGCACCAGCACTGGAGGCATGAAGACCTGAGTTCAAATGTGACCTCAGACACTTACTAGCTGTGTGACCCTGGGCAGGTCACTTAACCCCCCCCCCCCAAAATTATAGTGCTTTCCCTCTGTTGTTTATTTCAATTTATCCCTTGTTTGTATATAGCTGTTTGCACATCATCTCCCTCATTTGACTATGTCTTTTACCTTTCTTTGTATCCTCAGGGCTTAGTACAGAGCCTGGCACAAAGCAGGTGCTTAGTAAATGTTTACTAACCAAGTCCTTGCTACACTCTTGACCTACCAGCTCTATCAAAATGCTGAAAGTCCAGTCCAACACCATACCGGGAGGAAACTGAGCTTCATAGAAATGAAGGCACTTGCCTAAGGTCAGTATGAGTCAGTAATAGAATTGGGCTCCCAGGCCACATAGAGCCTTTCCACCAGAGCCCACAGGGTTTTCACTCTCAAATACTATGTACTGAGGTTTTTCCTTCTCCCAGCTGATACTTGGTTTTCCAAGGTCCTTCTTTCTCCCAGATCTCACACTGGGTTCCAAGGCCCTTCTCCCATCTCAGACACTCTATGTCCTAAGGTCCCTCCCAGCTCTGATTTATGATGTTACAGAACTCAGAGCTCTTACATGCTACCAGAACATTCTGTGTGCTTTAACAGTCTGTACTGTGAGACTTGTTTTCCCCCAGGTTTGACATTCTTTATTCTTAGGTCCCCTGATGACATTCCATGTTCTATAGCTTCCTCCAAACCTGATGCTCTAAGAGATTACGAGGCCCAGACCTTCCTGCTCATACATTCTATGTTCTGATACTATCTGTTCTAAGGCCACCCCAGCTCTGGCCTTCTGTGTCCCTCCTTCTACCCTTTTTCTTCTCCTGTCAGTTTAGTGAGTGGGATTTGGGATGGGATATAGGTCTGGGAGTAAACACCCCAGGCTCTTTTTTTCCTCCAGTCCTAGGATTGTGTATAGGACAGAAGGACAGAGACAACCTAGGAAAAATCGAAGATTGTAGTGAACTGAATTGGGGTCCAAAAGCCCTTGGGGTAAACATCTGAGTAGAAAGGGAAACCACAGTCAGGCTTTCAGAGCTCCTTCTGATAGGCAGCTCTCTCAGCTGGGCCCAGGTCTCCTGGAGGTGGATCCATCCCCTTCTTACCCCTTGAGGAAATCTTC